TTTTAAAATTCATAAACAATTCTCAGTTCATCTATGAAAATTGAATGTTAATTTTCAGTTTTCAAGATATGCTATTTCCATATTAATGATTTACAAAAAGGAAAAAGAATACCTCTGAAACTTTTCAGGAACACTTATACCAGGTAACACTATTAGGTTTTCTTATTTTGCACATGCATACACAAACACAACAAACAATCCACACCCCAGTCCCCTTCAACTCTATATTCCCCCTCAGTACATATATAGCTCTACCGTAACTCATCACCACAGTTTATTGGAGATTTTGCTTATCTAGATCTTACCCCCAGTAAAACTATTTGAAGGCAGTGACCGTGTCTTATTTGATTTCATAGTTACAGTCCTAGCATAACTTCTGCCACTTAATAAAGACAGTAATTTGTTTAGGGAATACATGAATGAATGAATGAATGAATGAATGAGTAAATGTGAATATCAAATAGATTTAATATGAAGGGCATGGCCTTCAAAACTGTTGAAATTTAAATGAATAATTATATTTATTCCTTTTCAGTATCCACTCCCCGCCTTTACAATTTTGCAATCAGGATTTTTAAAGATTTTCTGTGAGCTTAATTTCTCAATAAATAACACTCTTGTATGCCTCAATTTCTTCATCTATAAAATGGAATAATACATCCTATCATTCTATGTAGGGATGATGAGTCCTTAGCTATAAAGCATTCTGTTTGTTGGAGAAATTTATTCTCAAGGACTACATTATCAATATTATTGCTGTTAGTCACACTACAATGTAGGCGCAAACATCAAATTACTATTTAGAGATCATTAGATGTCAGAGATAGAAAGGCTCTTTGGGATCTTCTTGTCCAGTTTGTCCTTGGATGAGGAAACTGAACTCTACTCCTTTTACATCTCTTCTCTTTATAAATTACTGTACTCACATTCTCTTTGCCTTTGCATATGCCTGGATTTTTTTTTTTTTTTTTTATTATCTCAAGCGTAGAGATAAGAAAGGAGAACAGGGCCTGGTGCAGTGGCTCACGCCTGTAATCTCAGCACTTTGGGAGGACGAGGCAAGGGGATCACCTGAGGTCAGGAATTTGAGACCAGCCTGGCCAACATGGTGAAACCCCGTCTCTACTAAAAATACAAAAATTAGCTGGACGTGATGGCGCACCTGTAATCCCAGCTACTCGGGAGGCTGAGGCAGAAGAATCGCTTGAACCTAGGAGGTGGAAGTTGCAGTGAGCTGATGATATTGCACCACTGCTCTCCAGCCTGGGCAACAGAGTGAGACTCCATCTCAAAAAAACAAAAACAAACAAACAAAAAACAATGGAGAACAGAAAAAACATTAGGTACCTAATACCTAGAAGAGATCAAACTGAGCATTTCTTATTTTTGCTTCAGAATTTTTAAACGAAACTATAGATTCACTTGAAAGCTTCCATTTATCTTCCAATGCCCTTCTTTCCCTGTCTCCTCAGTCTGCCTTGATTTTGGTGGTTTCAATTCCCATGCATATGTTTCTACCTTTATGTGTGTGTGTGTGTGTGTGTACATGTGCACATACACTATTATGCATAAACCATATTATTTTACATCTTTAAATTAATGGTATTATACTGTGTGCCATTTACCAGCTTGCTTTTTCAACTTAATATTATGTATTTGAAACTTATTCATGTTGAAACATGTAGCCCTAGTTCCTAAAAGATTATATCCAGGTGCCTAAAAGACACATGAGAAGGTATACAACATCATTACTAATCAGAAGCAAATTAAAACTCCAATGAGTTACCACTACATGACCAGTGGAATGTGTAAAGTAAAAAAGTCTGGCAATCAGTATTGATTGATGGTGAAGATATGGAACAACTGGAGCTCTCCAACATTTTTGTTGAGAATGTAAATTAGTACATTCACTCTCACAAATTATCTGACTATATCTGCCAAAGCTGAACACACACACACATACACACACCCCTCATCTCAATTCATGCTCCCAGCCCGGTTGTAATACCTAAGAAAAATAAGTGCCTCCTACCAGAAGACATGTATGAGAATTACATGATAGTTTTATTTAGAAAAACAGACATTCCTTTTTTTAAATTCTATTTTTCCATAAGTTATTGGGGGTAAAAGTGGTATTTGGTTACATGAGTAAGTTCTCTAGTGAAGATTTGTGAGAACCTGGTGCACCCATTTGTGAGAACCTGGTGCACCCATTTGTGAGAACCATGGTGCAGCCTATGGTATACTGCACCATATTTGTTGTCTTTTATCCCTTGCCCCCCCTCCCACTTTTCCCCCCAAGTCCCCAAAGTCCATTGTGTCATTCTTATGCCTTTGCATCCTCATAGCTTAGCTCCCACATATCAGTGAGAACATATGATGTTTGATGTTCCATTCCTGAGTTACTTTACTTAGAATAATAGTTTCTAATCTCATCCAGGTCATTGCAAATGCTGTTAATTCATTCCTTTTTCAGGCTGAGTAGTATTCCATTGTGTATATCTATACACCAGAGTTTCTTTATCCACTGGTTGATTGATGGGCATTTGGGTTGGTTCCACAATTTTGCTATTGTGAATTGTGCTGGTATAAACATGTATAAGCAAGTATCTTTTTCGTATAATGACTTCTTTTCCTCTGAGTAGATACCCAGTAATGGGATTGCTGGATCAAATTGTAGTTCTACTTTTAGTTCCTTAAGGAATCTCCACACTGTTTTCCATAGCGGCTGTACTAGTTTACATTCCCACCAGCAGTGTAGAAGTGTTCCCTGATCACCCCATCCACACCAACATCTACTGTTTTTTTATTCTTTGATTACGACCATTCTTAAAGGAGTAAGATGGTATTGCATTGTGGTTCTGATTTGCATTTCCCTGATCATTAGTGATGTTGAGCATTTTTTCATGTTTGTTGGCCATTTGTGTCTCTTCTTTATAGAAGCAAATATTCTTAATAATGCAAACAACCCAAATACGTACCAACAGGTGTATGGGTAGCTAAATTGTGATGTATTCCTACAATGGAACACTACATGAATGAACTGCTGACATGTTCAGCCACATAAGTGAATTTCATAGACATTATGTTGAGTGGAACAAGTCAGATACTTATAAAAAATTTATTTGCTGTTCATATGAATCTCAGGAGCAAGAAAAACTAATCTATGGTGATTCAAATCAGATTTGTGGTTACCTAAAAGATGGGTAATGACTGAGAAGAATATGACTAAGCTTTCAGGGGTGCTGAAAATGTTCTATGTGTGTGTGTGTGTTGGTTACATTAAAAGGTATCAGTCTGTGTGCTTAAGATTTATGCACTTTATTGTATATGTTATATTCTCAATTTTTAAAGTGTTATTTAAAAAATGATAAAATGTTCAGAACTTGGTAGACATTATTTGTAGGGTAGGTAAGGGAGGATGGAGTCAAGAATGGTTCCTGACCTAGACTGTTAAGCACTCAGGTCGAATTTCCCCCATCCTTAGCCTCAGGAGCTACATGAAAGCCCTGTGTCTATGCTCTTTTCCAGGGGTTCTCAGATAAACATGCAGCAGAATCACTTGGAGGACTTGTTAAAACATAGACGTCTGGGCCCCACCACCAGTGTTTTTAATTCAGCAGGGCTGGTGTGGGGCCAGAGAATTTGCTTATCTTAACAAGTTCCCAGGTGATGATGATGATGTAGGCAACACATTTTGAGAATCACTGTTCTATTCTGCTTATACCATTTGTCTTTGCTGCATTTTCAATACTATTGGCTCCATAACCTCTAGATATCTATCCTGTTTTACTACTGAACCTTTTGATTGGTATTCCTAGCTCTTAATGACCTGACTCATAGAGGTAGGATATACTAGTCAAGGTACAATTTTGAGAGGAAATTATCGAGTTCAGTTGTGAAAAATGGAATTTTAGACTTCGGTGGTAATGACTAGCATGAATTGTGATATACTCATTTGCATCTCCAAAGTGAGGTCTTGGCTGGAGTTATTAGTATACATATAGAAACCATAGAAGTAGGTGAAGTGCTCAGGTGTGGTTTATAGATGGGAAGAGGATCAGAAATAGAAAGCACCAATATTTAAGGTTTATTTACAGAAAATAAACTTACAAAGGAGACAGTAAAAGATAGGAGAACTAGATCAGAGTAGTGTTATGGGGCCAGAGGAACAGGTTTCAAGCAGAAGAGGATCCATTTGTTTCATCTTTTTTACTATGATGCTAAGATTTGAATAGTTCCTTTTCCAGTAAATGACTCAATAAATGGATGGATATAAATATGATAAAAATTAAAAGGCTTTCATTGGATTTTTCAGTTAGAAAGTGACCTTAGGAAGAGCAATGGTATTTAGTGGACATACAAGCTGGCTATATATCACTGTTGATTAAACAGGAAATGAGGATATGGAGACAGTATGAGTGATTGATTAATGGGGTTTTTGATCAGGAAAAGTGTTAACAGAAGAAATTGTGGTGGGAAAATTTTTAATAAATAATAATGAATCTCTCCCAGTATAATCATCACCCACTTTCTGTAAATATTAATTCATAAACTTCTTTCTGTAGACTCCAACCAAACTGTTTTATTATATATTCTATTATTTCATCCATAAATATTTCAGTTTATATTCAGTATATATCTAATTCATATATCCCCACAATATCATTGTACCAAAAAAAATTAGTGATAATTCTGTAATATTATTACTAATCAGTGTTCAAATTTTCCTGATTATATCTTAAACTTTTTTTTACAGTTGATTTATTCAAATCAGGACCTAAACAAGGTCTGTACATTGCATTTGGTTGATAAGTCTTTTAAGTCTCTTGTAATCTAATAGATGAGAGATATTTGAACATGTTTAAATGTTAAGGAAAAGGAGACACCAAAAATTTAGGAGAAAGAATGGATTATTGATGGATCAAAGTCACTGGGGAGATGGGAACAGAAAGGACAGTTGGGTCTGGGCGCGGTAGCTCAAGCATGTAATCCCAGTGCTTTGGGAGGCTGAGGTGGGCAGATCACCTGAGGTCAGAAGTTCAAGACCAGCCTGGCCAACATGGTGAAACCCCATCTCTACTAAAAATACAAAACTTGGCCAGGGATGGTGGCACGCGCCTGTAATCCCAGCTGCATGGGAGGCTGAGGCAGGAGAATCGCTTGAAGTTGGGAGGCAGTAGTTGCAGTGAGTCGTGATCGCGCCACTGCACTACAGCCTGGTCAGCAGAGGGAGATTCCGTCTCAAAAAAAAAAAAAAAGCGAAAGGACAGTTGGAAAATTTAGATATACACAGTAGGAATGTTTGTTCAATGAATGAATATGCCATGAACTTAGAATGTATGTGAATATTCTTGACAATCAATTATAAAATATGAAAATTGGAAGGGCCCTTGGAAATTATTCTTATTTTACAGATGGGAAAACAAGGATCTGTAGGTTTTCTTTTGATTAGAGGGAGATGTTTTGGCCCTAAAGTAGGGGAGACTGAATAGGAAAGGACACCTTAGGGATATAGGGGACTACTGCTGCTCCTCTCACACCTCCCCAGACCAATACTTTGGGAGACTGAGGCAGGTGGATCACCTGAGGTCAGAAGTTCAAGACCAGCCCGGCCAACATGGTGAAACCCCATTTCTACTAAAATATAAAAATTAGCTTGGTGTGGTGGCATGTGCCTGTAATCCCAGCTATTCAGGAGGCTGAGGCAGGAGAATCGCTTGAACCCAAAGGGTGGAGGTTACAGTGAGCTGAGATCATGCCATTGCACTGCAGCCTGGGTGACAAGAGTAACATTATGTCTAAAAGAAAAACATATATATATATATCTCCTTATACATTTAACCCTCAGAGCAACATCTTTTTATTCTTTAATTGGAAATATTATATTTGAGTTGAAGAAACATTATCATATACTTCAACCATTAATGTTTCTGTACCCAGTTCCTACCCTTTCCAGCTCTGTCATTTGCTCAAACAAATCTGTTTTATTTAAATCAAAAGGGATGCATATAGGCCTAGATCCTAGTTAGATACTTTTGATAAAGAGTCTTTAACCTTGTAATTTTATTGATTTCAACTTTTGTTTTTAAATTACTTTTATGAATGGTTTGCTTTTTTTTTTTTTCTTTCGAGATAGAGTCTTGCTCTGTCACCCAGGCTGGAGTGCAGCAGCGTGATCTCGGCTCCCTGCAACCTCCGCCTCCTGGGTTCAAGTGATTCTCCTGCCTCAGCCTCCAGAGTAGCAGGGATTACAGGGGCCTGCTACCACGCCTGGCTAATTTTTGTATTTTTAGTAGAGACGGGGTTTCACCATGTTGGTCAGGCTGGTCTTAAACACCTGACCTCAAGCAATCCACCCCCCTCAGCCTCCCAAAGTGCTGGGATTACAGGCGTGAGCACCATGCCCAGGCTTATTGATGGTTTTTCTTGTGGAAACATTATTTAATCAAAACAGATGAAAATATGTAGGGAGAGCTTTCTTTTACAAACATATTTTGTGCTGCTTTGTTTTATATTATAGGGTACAGAAATTTGTTGTTGTTTTCATGATGCACAATGTGACCTAATTTACCTAGGCTTACTCCTTTCTTAGTTCTTGTACTTGTACTTCTGTATTTCTCTGATTCATTGATATATTGACCACTTGTTCATTTCAGAATTTTCTCTGGACTTTGATACTGCAGTAACTTATTTTTCTCCTACTCATTTGATAGTTCATTGTTTTCTTTATTAACTCTTTTCCTTTAGCTCCTATTTCTGCCCCAAGATAAAAGTCTTTCTATATATTCTACCTGTCAGAGGTCTCATCTACTTCTGTAACTTTCAGCCATTTTCCCTCAGATATTTGTCTCTAGCCCTAGCCTCTCCCGTAATTCCAGACTTATATTTCCAGCTATCTTCTAGAAATCTCTACCTGGATATCTTCCCAAAATCTCAATTTCAACATATCTGAAACAAGACCTTACGTTTTTACCTGTAATCAGTCCCGTCATCTGATTTTTAAAAACAATTTATTGAGGTGAAATACACATAGTATAAAATTAACCCCTTTTTTGGGGGGAGGGGGGAGATAGAGTCTCACTTTGTCACCCAGGCTGGAGTGCAGTGGCATGATCAGGGCTCACTACAGCCTCAACCTCCTGGGTTCAAGTGATCCTCCTGCCTCAGCCCCCCAAGTAGCTGGGACTACAGGCACGTGCCACTACGCCCAGCTGATTTTTGTATTTTTTGTAGAGACGGGTTTCGCCTTATTGCCCAGGCTGGTCTCCAACTCCTGAGCTCAAGCTGTCAGCCCGCCTTGGCCCACTAAAATGCTAGGATTACAGGCGTGAGCCACCACACCCAGCCAAAATAACCATTTTAAAGTGAGCAATTCGGGGAGATTTTGTACATTCATAATGTTGTGCAACCACTACCTCTATCTAGTTCCAAAGCATTTCCATCACTCTAAAGTAAAACCTCTTATCCATCAAACAGTTTGTCTCCATTGCCCTGTCTTCCTAGCCCCTGGCAACCACCAACATGCATTCTGTTTCTATGGATTTATAGATATTTCATGTAAAAAGGAATCATATATGACCTTTGTGTCTGGCTTTTTTTCACTTAGGATAATGTTTTTGAGGTTCATCCAAGCTGTCACATGTATCAGTACTTCATTTTTATGGATGAATAATATTTTCTGTCTTTCATAAAACCAATGACACTGTATTTATTAACTTTTTTTAATGAGTCTAGAGTTTAAAAGACAGTTTCTTAGGTGAAATTAAGTGATTTAGAAGGGAAAGAGAAAATAACAGAGATAGTATCTTAGAATAAGCTTCTAGTCGACAGTATATAGCTAACTTATTGATGAATAATATTTTCTGTTGTGTGTATATACCACAGTTTATTTATTCATTCATCTAAGTGCTGTTTCCACTATTGTGAATAGTGTGCTTCCGTGAACGTAGGTGTACATGTACTTGTTAGAGTACCTGTTTTCAATTCCTTGCTTTGATTGTCCTTCATCAGTTTATGATACTGTGTTCTTTTAGTCACTTGGGTTTAAAAACTGCATGGCACATAGTAGGTGCTAAATATATGTTAGTTGAATGGATTTGTTAAATTATTGTGTTGAATTAGTTATCATTCTCTTCTTTCCCCTTTACCTCTTCTGTCTAATCACATATTAACTCAATTATAGACTTAACTCAGCCACGAATTGTATGACATTGGGCAAAACACAACTATATGCTTAGTTTTATATGCCTAGTCTTCTGTAGACCTGTACAGGACCTCTACTTACTCAGTCTTCTGTAAAATGACTTTCTTGAACCACAAACATAAAGCCAAAGACAACCTGGGAAATACATCTTCACTTACAACCGTGGGCAAATATGAATTGCTCCTTGGAATTGATAAGCAACCTAGAGAAAAATCAGCGGTCAGTTTACATTAAAAGAAATTAAAATGACCCTCAAGCATATGAAAATATGTTCAAATATACATATAAAAGTCATGCAAATTAAAACTATGCTAAGATTTTTTTTCCCACCTATCGCCTCATTTTGTTGGTGAGGCCGTGGATAAATAAGTTTTTTCATACTCTGCTCCTAGGATAGTTATCTAAATTGCAAATGCATATACCCTTTGACCAGGCAATTCCATTTCTGGTAATTTATCCTAAAGATAAGCCTGCACAAGTAAGAAGTGATATATGTAGAAGTTTTTTATGGCAGCAATATTTACAAAAACAAGGTTGAAAGCAACCCAAATGCCCATCAATAGGAATCTGGTTTAAAAAATGTGGTACATTTATACAATGGAAAACTAGGAAACTGTGAAAAGAATGGCGATGGTGTCTGTCTATTAAAATGGAAATACCTTCAAGATGTATTGTTAAGTGAATAAGAGATGGGTTAAAAATAAGACTATGTAAAATTAAGACTATAAATTGCAAAGAAAATTAAAAAATAAAATAAACAATACCAGGTGTCGTGACTTATGCCTATAATCCCAGCACTTTGGGAGACCAAAACAGGAGGATTGTTTGCATTAGCCAGGAGTTTGAGACCGGTCTGGGCAACAAAGCAAGAGCCTGTCTCTACAAAAAAAAAAAAAAAAAATTTTAAAATTAGCTGGGCAAGGCCACGTGCACCTGTAATCCCAGCTTCTCAGGAGGTCAAGTCTGGAGAATCAGCTTGAGCCTAGGCGTTTGAGGCTGTAGTAAGCTATGATTGTGCCACTACACTCTAGCCTGGACAACAGAGTGAGTCCTTGTCTCTAAAAAAAAAAAAAAAGAGAGAAATAAACAAACCAACAAAAAAACACCAAAAAGATTAAGAATGTAAAACCTTTCTAAAGACATATAAGAAACTAATAAAATGATTTATCCAGAGCGAAGGTAGAGGAAGGAATGGGGCAGATTAGAGCAGAGGTGGGAGAAAGCTTTTATTATGTACCTTTTTGTATTATTTTTTGAACCATCTGAATGCATTTTATGCAAAAATTTTAAGGTAAAAGTAAGTTATTTCTAAAATGATGGCAGCAAAAAGGTTAATAGAAATAGATATGTTTGAGCAAGACTGGGAAATGGCAGAAAATTCCAAGGGAAAGATATAGACATAAGGTAACTGCAAGTTTACAAAGGATATAATGCCATAGGCAACAAGCACCAGACAAATTACTCTAGTGCAAAGAAAAGTAATTAAACTGTGCAGCAACATTTAAACAGCTGAAGCATAAGTAAAATATTAGCACAGGAAAAGAGGCAGTAGAAGAATTAGATTTTATGTTTAACACATTAAAATGAAAAGATTTTAATTAAAGCTGTTATTTAGAGCTACAAAATATTTTAAATGAAGAATCTATATTATAAATCGCCTCCATTCTTTGTACATTCTCAACCTCTATTTCAGTCCTTCTATAAAGCCAACACATATACATTCCATCCATGTCAAGAAAAGTCATTTTTTTATCTTGGTGACTTACATGGTACAGCATATGTATGAAAACAACTTTAGATCTGGGATTTGACTGTGTTATGTAAATG